TCTCCTTTGCAGTTAAGAAGTTTATCACAGTACAGCTGGTATAAAAAAAAGCAATGAATAGGGATAGAATGAAAAAAACCCCCAAAGTAGAAATACAGAGAATTCAGATGGAAGCTACCCAAGACACTTCCTGGTTTTAATTGCCAAATTCACCATCCTAAAAGAAAAGAGTTTTAAGTGTTCTCCAGGTACCAGTGCTGGACACATAGCATATACATGAATGTCTGGAGTTGCAACTGAATCTTGCTTATCAGTAATTTTCTCATAGCCCTTTATTGACAGATGAAGAAAGGACATTATTTTAATGCCTTTGGAATCATACGTATATTTTAATTCTATATAGACCTAATTGCTGGGTTTTGTGACTATGTTTCCTTCCAAAGTCATAACCTTTTACTCTGGCAATTACCACTAGGAAAAATGCACTGCAGAGTGCTCCATAGTACCATATTGCACCTGTCTGCCAACAGGCAGATGAGAAACCAACTACTTGCTTGCCACAGGACTCCTCTCATTCTGACTTTCTTCTCCTGTAATGAAACACCTCTCAGAAAAGAATCTTCTGAGCTCAGACATTAAGCTCTGGAAACTTACTTATTTTTGCTGTGTGGCAATTCTTTATATAGTATATGACAGTTTCAAATTGAGCTGTCTTTTAAAGATTTCTATTCTCGTTTGCACAGGTGCTATACAGCCATTAAAAAGAAAATCGTATCATCTGGCCCTTGTGTATTGATAAAAAAGTCGCAACCACCATTTACTTGACAAACTGTATTATAAAACTTGTAGGAAAAAGCACATTTTCTACACTATTACCAATTGACTGTTACCTGAATACTTAAAAAATTAGCAGTAAAACAAAACTAGAGAATTAAACTCATAAACTTTCCTATTTGCAAACATTTATCCGAATTTATCAAAAGTTTTAACTTTAAATACGTAATTTCAGAGGTTTATGTTGACCAGCCAGTAACAAAGGGAGTTAATCAAATATGAATCTTCTCCAACTGTCTTGTCAAACCAGGTAATGATGTCCTGCCAGCCAAACTCAGAGGGAACATGTGAAACAAATACAAAAGTAAACAGGCCTTAAGCTGCCCAAGGGAAAGTCAGCAAGATGGCAATTTCAATCATTTGGAATAATACTAAAGCAGCCTTAGGCTCTTCTCAGAATGGAAACATGTCACTGTTACTGCAATATTTCAACAAATCAGACTGCAAAAGAAAGGAACACTTATGTAATCGCAGCCCTGGAACAGTGCTTTACTCCACAGTAAGGTGGAAAATAATGAAGAGGAAATTCCCTTTTTGCAAGTAATTGTAAACAACATTTCCTTAGAAATTTCGAGGAGTGAAAAAATCAAATCTAGGCAGAGATTTAGTTTTGATACAGGAGGCTTTGGAACAACAAAGACCAAGTTCTATCAAATAAAACTATGATATGCTGAGGAAAGTTACATTCAGAATTACAAACAAAGCAAAAAATACTTCAAGAACAATTCTGCCGAGAAGTTTCATTAAGGTGAATGGGTTGTCATATCATTTAACTGAGAAATCAAAAAATATTTCAAATATTCGGGGAACTTACCTAATCAGTAAACTTTCAGTATGTGTCTAGTCATGTAGCCATCTTTTAGTCAATCATCAGAAAATCAAAGGCAAATTGGCATGACTCAACCCAAACTTTAATACCGCATGATTGTGTCGTGTAAGCTTGTTTTGTGCAAGGGCTGCTGTGGTTTTAGCAGAGAGATTAACGACCGGACCTAAGCTGGCCTCCAAACCTTGCCCTGCTGATGCCTCAAGCCCTTTGAAGTCTGACCATCATACCTGGCAAAACAACAGTGGGAACTAGGCTGGTGTCAGATCTAATCAAGTTTCCTGCCTCAGCATAGCTAACTATGGGGTACACTAATTGGCCCAATTGCGGATTATACCTTTTGCTACAGATTCAAGACAATAATTTAGTCAAATGATGGTTTTTATCTCCTTCTAATTAAGATTCCAAAGTGGGAAGAAATAGGATTAGACAGGCTAACTTCAAAATTGTGTCCTTTAAAGTGGTATGCACATAAGATAGATCTCTGATAATATTCTATATAATACTATATCACTAGTAACTAACGTGTGAAGATTTGGGAAAGCTTGATAGAGCTACTGCACCTTTTATGACAAACATGTAAATTTCCTTGAAAGGATCTACCACATAATTTACAAATGAAAAATGAACACTCAAAAATATTAATAAAAAAATCCCGAATTTAAAAAAAAAACCAACCCCTTCAGAATACATTTCAGTCAATCCGATTTTGCTGAAGAAGATACAGGAAAACCTGAAACAGTCCAATGATTCTGTAGACTATGAAGAGGCAGAGTCCCTCCCACAAAACTGCGATCTAATAAAACGGATTTGACGTTTAAGGTTGTTTTACAGATGAGGGCCAAACCATAAAGTGATTTAACTGGTAAGCAATCCAGAGCTGAGAAAATCCATGTCCCATGCTCTTATTTTAAACTGTCAAAAAAGAATGACGTAGTGATGAAAAGCCTTTTTGGAGAAATTTTGGCAGAAATCACAGGTTGCATATTTCTAACTTTTCTTACATAAATTGATTTTAAAGTGGCATTTCAAGTAGAGGTCAATATTTTCACCCTAAAGTGTGTATATAACAAGCAGAAGCTTTCAAAAAATTGTAACATACTCAAAATATATTTTCACTTCACATTTAAGCTACATACTAAAGAAGTCATCAATTTCATTGTACGAAGTGCACTGTTGCTTGTACACAACACACAGTGCTGTGCTGCTTTATGTTTTTACCACCAGAACCAAACCTGACTGCTGACACAACACACTCTAACTGCAGAAAACCACCTTATTCACATCCCTTCTTAGTTCAGTTTTCCCTTGCTCCCATTTTCTTATGGACCTCATTGCTCTAGTCAGCCTAGCTGCCTCCCCTAATAGTATGAGGAAGAAAAACATATGTATTATAGATTAGAGAAATGTGTACAGGAAGATCACAGTAGGACACTGATCCCACATGTTCAAAAAGGGCTAGTTTGTGTCAGTTCAGCTTATAGAAAGCACATCTCTAACAAAACCTGAAGTTATTCAAGAGGGGATGCAGCTGAGCAAGGAAGGGAGAAATTACACAAGCAGGTCATCTACGCATGTCTAGGGCAACAGGTTGTTTCAAGAGTTCCCCTACACCCGTTTCCAGCACTTCTGCCCCATGGCTAATTCCATTCTTTTTACAGAGCCTCCTGCTAAAGATTTTGTCGTTTTTTGTTTGGGGTTTTTGTGGGTGGGGTTTTTTCTTGGTGGGGTTTTTTTTTTCCCCTTCCAAATTACATTACAAATTGGAAACCCAAATACAGAGGACAGAAAAAAATATATTCTGAACCAGGATTCAGTGAGGAAAAAACCCACAAATATTCTAATTCATAGCTATAATAAATGAAAGTTTACTAAGCTGTGAAATGAGGATGCATGCTTCTCTGCACTTCTGAAAATATTGAGAACATCTGTATTTTGAAACCAAACAGAGGCCATTAAGGTATTTGTTTCTAACGTACTGCTCAAAAGCAGTTGTTAAAATGGGTTAACTGGTTTCACTAACCACATTCTCTGGAAAGTGAGAAACATTATGAAGGAATGTCTTTGGGAAAAAAGTCCTCCTCCATGTACTTGCCTTTAAGTGGCTTCTGAAAAGGATACCTCTAGTTGGGAAACTTCTAGCTCTCATGCGGAGATGACCTGCATGAAGAACTGGCCGCCTGATTAACTATTAACTACTCTCAATAGGATTAGATAATTAAAGACATTGATGACCATTAATTAGGAGGAGGGCACCTTAATTTGTCACTTGATAGGGCCCTTTCAATGATTTATAGGTTAGGGCTACTTGCAATTGTGAAGGGGAGGGGGCAGTGAAGAGAGAGAACCCTTAAGTTACCTTATCAAGTGGCCAGCTAAAAAGGGCAGAGGGTCAAATAAGGGCCAAAGTGGTCACTTAAGGGTGAAGTCCCAAACACCAAAGCAGTGCCAAGCCACATTGACCATCATTTGGTGATGGAGTAAAAAATATGCTAATTTATTGGTGGCAATTCTCTCTTTTTATGGTTTCAAGCAGTTAAGACAAGTGGCCTGCTTAAGAGCTTTTCATTTGAAAAGAGATTAAACAAAATGGTTTGTCAGGGATGCTTGGCTGTTTTATGTCTTTGTTAAAAAAAATTTGCCCAGACTGTACCAATGACTACCACATCGCCCTGAAAGCCATCTTCCATCTCTAAGCATTACTTGGTTAATAAATACATCAGCTCTAATTGCTTAATAGTGCTATGTTCATTTGCTCTTTAGCAAGATTAAAATGAAATACATCTTTTGTATTACTGCCTTCTATCAGGACTGTCTGCATAAAGGTCACAGAAAAAAGTTTAAATTTAGTAGGAAATTTACTTAGGGACATTAGTGTAAATGATACTGTGTTTAAAATGACATAAAAGAGCGAAAGGTGATTTCAGTAATGCAAAGAAAATGGTTTCTGAATACTGATAAGGACACTTATCCCTCATACCACACACAATTTTAGGCAGCATTATACATTAAAATCCCTCTACTGGGGTAATAACATGTAGCTACTTTCCCACCCACTAACACAAGTAAGAGCAAGTCATTAACATTTAATTAAATATGCTCCTGACATCCTTAGAAACATGTCACACTTTGTTATTGAAGGTTGTGGCCTACTTTCTATGTACATTTTAAACCCAAATAAACTATTTATAACGGACTGATTTAGTGCCGCAAATGAGACATTTTTAATTAGAAGTCATATTGCGGGATTTTATAGAACCGTTTTGAACAGCAAAACCAGAGTGAAATGAATTTACAACATCTGATGCATGTTTCATGCATTTCACAAAACGAAACATAAGAGACGGGATTAGCTCCACCTTTTGGGTTCTAAATAGTGAAACAAAACTGTTTCTCTTACCTCAATGGTGAACAGCTTCCTTTTTAATCTAAAAGCGAGGTCCTTCGTGTCTGAGACATCACAGATCAAGCTATTAAGCCGAGGAATCTGACGTACATGAACTAAACCTGGTGGAAAGAAAGAGTAGAGGGAAAAGAATTAAGAAAACGCTGTCATCCAGATGCATAAATTAGAATCTTACCGCAGAATTCTGTATATTTACACACACTCATACTCCCCTTTTTAAACTGGAGCTTACTACCAGGAGCAATGAAGCAAACAGTGCGATTATACTCAAGTAATCAAGCAGAATAAGATAAACAGAAATCCTTTTGCGAGGAAAACTAATTGCACTTTGGTACAGAAGTACAGATGTAAAGAGCGATCTTAGTACTTGTCAAAACTACAGCCGGCTTGTGTGTGATTTTCTCTTGTATTTACAGTAAGCAAATATGGCTATCACCTTGCATGCTGCCCACGGCACCACTGAGTGATCTTTATTTTATTAAATGCACCAGTAAGCAGCCAGCAAAACAAGGCTTATGGGTTAGTGATAACCACTGAAGCTCTAATGAGAAGTACTTTGTTTTGAGCCCTGAAAACAACTTGAAAACAAGTTGCTGGAAAATACCTATTTTAGATCCTGCTTTTCAAGAAATCTTAACCCCTATGCCATGCTTGGAGAAATACATTTTCTTTGTGCAGGAGGCTTACAGAGCTGTTTGGATGTTTTTAACAGTACTAGGTGCACTGCAAGCTCTGCATTTTGTCAGCTACAGCTCAAGCTGATTTTTTCTGACAAGGACGCTGGATGGTTTTTGTGCAGCCTAATATAGTTTCTGAACAACCTAAGGGTGATTTCCTACATCTGAAACCCAGGAAAATTCTTCAGGGCTTCTCAATTACTGGCCTATATTTGCTATTCATAAAGTCACCGTCTAAATGGAAATACTGAACATGTATAAAAGACAACTTGCTTGAAAACGGCAGCCGTGAGAAAAAATCCAAGCACTAAAACCCTAATTTAAAAATAAAGCAAGTATTTTTTCAGGGTTTTATTTAGCTTTTTTTAAAGGAAGAATAAGGGTAGAAAGTTTCCTAAATACTTTAAAAAGCACCATTTTTATCGGTACCAGTTACAGAAATTCTCAATAGTATTAGAATAATATTTTTACACTTTGAAACCTTCTATCCTTGTCTCCAGTCTGGTGACATAGAAGAATTATTTCCTTGGCTTTTGAGTTCAAAATAGAATTATTATATATAGAACTATCAGGCATAACACAGGGTTGCTTATACACAGTATTCTAAAAATTTTACTTAAAAATCACCTATATAATTCTTCTGTTATTATATGGACTTTCCAATCATTTAAATATGCAGACAGCTCAATAAAATATTTGTGTAAGATTCATTAAATAATGTAATAATTTAATTAAACTTCTCCTGAGTAATGTCAAAATCTTCCCTCTTCTGCAGTAATTAAGTCATCTTAAAATATATTCTTAAGCAAAAAGAATCCACAAAGTTAAAAGTGTCAAGAATACCTTTTTTAGAAAGTTAAATTAAGGTTGCCTAAACCTCAAAAGCTACATATATTGGCATATCATTTTTATTAAGTAGTACCAGAAATGATTTAGCACACAGTTTCACAGGAACCCAGGAAATAACTGCTAAAGCACATATTGTCTTAAAGGATTTCTTCAGTACTGAGAAATGGAGTATCAAGCTGACAGAATTATGTTAGCATAAACAAATGCCACAGCACCATTATACAGTTGGAAAAATAATTAGGCAAATTATTCTAGCTTTTGTTCTCTTTTTTTTTGTTCACTTTTTTCCAGATAATGAGATGTGCGCTATTTTCATGGGAAAAAAGATTTTTCTCTGATTTATTAATTACAGCCTGCATACACACAGTGGTGTCTCGACACCATCTTTGCTTCTTTTTCTGTGTATGCTGCTATGGAAAATACTGCCACATTCTCACATGTTTACAGCAGGTTTTGGAGGAGAAGTTTAGTTTCAACTAAAGGTTTCCATGCAACTACAATAGTATCATCAGAAAAATAGCTGTAATTTATGCACCCTCGGCATACCACTCTGGATTAGCTAAAATTGTTTCTGATTCACTGCTTTGGCTATGCATAACTTCTAATCTAATCTTTTAAAATTTAAATAGTTCTGCTGCAGCAGCTAACACAATCTTTGGGAAACAACAAACAATATTAAACACCATTCCATGTTTGAAGATAAATCACTTGAAAGTCTACATGATTTTGTACCAAAATTAGTTTTGTATTTTCCATGCCACACATACCCATCTTCATTTCTTTAAATGTGTTAAGTGCCATAACTTAAAATTGAAAAACAGAACATTATTTTTAGATCAAGTTTATACAGCACACCATTTAGTACTTTATTAACTTTAATATAATATATGTTTTCCCATGTTCTCTATTTAAAACTTGGCAGATCAAACGTATTGATTTCATGACAGGTTCAGCTAGTTGGTCAGATGATCGCCAAGCCTCCTCTGCATGTGAATTCCCCAAAGCCTGCCTGTTGAGATGTACATCTGATTGAGCCATGCCTCCGTAATGTGGCTTGACAACATGCAAGGAGTTGCCATGTTTCCTTTGCAGCCTTAATGCACTTTACTGAAAATTTTCCTAACTCAAGCCTGGTTAGCAAGGAGAAGCATTTAAGAGGTTTATTCTAAAATGAAATCAAATGCTACTTTACAGCAGATACCCAACTGGACGGTAAGGCAGTAAGTGCCCTAGAAACACTCAGGGCAGACTTTCTGCATTGCTAAAGATGGAACTTACCATGGTAATCCTTGTATAATGGATTGGTTTCTCTCTCTGAGCCAATAAATGATTCAAGACCAACTACCGTATCTGACAAGTTTGTTACACGTTCCATAATTGCTTTATTCTGTAAGACATAGAAACAAAATACAAATCCTATGTGATGAAAAGGTAATTAATGTTCATAGAGTAAGCCTTGGTCTTCTCAATGGCAAACTGTGGGGAAAAAAATAGGTCATCAATACTTAGAAATTACTTTTTTTTTTTTTTAAAAAAAGGACTTCAAATTTCTGTCTAAAGAAAACATATATTTGACAAGGAGAAACTATAAAAGGGCTAACTCAGCACAAAATTAATATTTTCCTAAATCTTCATAGCATCAGCATTTGCTCACATCAGAGATACAAGCTATGTGGGAGTTAAGAACCTCTCATTGACTTCTTCTAGAAGTCACGATGCCCAGCTTTTGTTTGTGCTCTGAAAACTTTGGTTTTGGATATATTTAAGCATCTCTCTAAGATTTTGAGCAAGTACAACCCACATGATTATTCATTTTGGTCATAAGTCGAAAACACGGAAACCCAGAACATTTCCACCCATATTTTTCTTTTTAAAAGTTTCTCTCTACACAACATATGAATCTAAAGCTTCAAGATGTATTAGAATTGCTCAATATATTTGTGGTAGGTGATGCCTTATGCCTCGTGCAACAATGTACTGCCATGTGCCTTAAATAAGCTGTTTTCCATGCAATTTTCCTGACTTCATTTTATGGAGCAGAAAGGTGACAAGAGAGATCTTCAGAGGTAACTCCACATTAAATGTTCTTAAATGATTTTATGATGTCAGTATTTAATGGTGTGTGTGGGAGGAATAAAAAAAAAAGGAGACAAATCTGTGCTAAAAAGCAAAATATTTCTTGAAGATAAGAAGGTGGTATCTTAAAGCTGCCTGGACAGCTGGTATACTCTTGTTCTCGATGGCTGTAGGCGCTGTACCCATCATACTTTCATGGGTAGACCAAACACCTCAAATTCCCATTCCAAGTATGAACAATTAGCTCTGTAGCTCCAAGTTACAGTTTTGCATTTTTTATGAATTTTAAAGCATTTTGTACATTTTGCATTTCTTTCATAAACTATACAAGCAATGTTTCTTATGAAATGCCAATTTAAATATTGGTAAAGTATTTGATACTAACAATTTGTAAAGTAATTAGGAGCAGAGAGAAGGGAAACATCCCTTGATAAGTTGGAAGAGTCCTTTCATTGTACTGACATACAGGTTCATTTATTAAAATAGTGAGCAGAACATCAATCGTTTTCAGGAAGCCACATTTCAGTGACGGCATATTTCCTAGTCACAGAGGAGCCTACAAAGCAGACATGAAAGCAGAACATTTCCCACTCTCATCAAAGAATAATCTGAATTGTTTGTTAACCACTACATAAAGTAACTTGTGGCTTGTCTGCACAGGCCAATCTGCTCAGGTTACAAGGCCTAAATCCACCGATCCCATGGCACCTTTACACCCCCTCCCTTCCCCACCTTATGGGCCAGATGGCATTAAATCCTGGGGACTGGTCTCTTTTCAAAGCTGCTACTTGTGCACAGGCCAAAATGATCTATCCCCATGGAATCAGGGAACTTCAGTTTTACCTACGAAGTCTAATGATGGATAATGATAAAACAGTGTTACACTATAGAATTTCCTTTATGAGGAATAACGTAAGTGATCTGAGTTAAAAGTGCCTACCCATCAATCCCCAAACTTTGCTATTATATCCACCCCTGAAATATTAAAGCTGACTTGCAAATTATTTCCTCTTCTAGGAAGAGACAGACAGTATACCACATTTTAATGGAAACTTTTGGTTACATTATTCTACAGGGGCAATCACATAAAGATGGTATAAATATAAACCTGAAGTAGCCAGTGATCTCTAGATTTCCACAGACCAGAAATGACCATATTTTGCCAGTTCTTCAGCAGGCTGCTGGATGTTATTTGTATTAGCAAGCAAAACAAAATTGTTACATAAATAAACTGATGATTTCTGGAAGCTAACCTAATTCTCAGTATGAAAAAATATTCTATCATTTGAGAAAATATTTGTTGGCATTAATGTTTTTGCTTGCTGGTTTGGATAAAAATGGGTTACAAAAACTGGACAGAAAGATGCTCAGCCATCAGCATGGCATCCTCATCATTCACAGTCCTGCAAACCACAAGAACAGCATCTTTCCTATTCGGCCTTAATTCTGAAAAGATTAAAGTGAGGGACAGCAATTCAATAGTTGCCTAATGATATGCATGTTAAGGTTGGCTTCAGTTTTTCTTAACAGGTTTGCTTTCTTAAATTGTAGTCTGTTTGCCTGCTGATTATGGTTTTGTTTTTAAAGTGTGTCAAAATATTCCCCTGGCTTAATGCAGTGTATCTTGGGAAATATTTTGCACAGTGAATCGCCACACCAAACAGACATTTGCTTATGTGGCATTGTTGCCATAGATTTGTATCTATCATGTATTTTCTAGTTTGCAGCGTTCAGCACATTAATGTTCAATCAAAGCTGACGTCAGCACACAGATCTTGTGATGTATGGCATCCTGACATAAACACACAAATCATGTTGCCCCATCTGGGCTTGAAAATTTAGCAGAGCTCCAGATCTTCCTCCAGCCCCATACAAATCTACCTCCTGCTTCTGGCATAAACTTGGCAGCTCTGGAGGTGAGCCAGGACATGGTTAGGAGGGAAGCCAGGA